AGGAAGGCAGGAAGCCCAAGAGGAGAGACAATATTGAGGAGAAGGGGAAGGACCTTAGCACCACGAGGCATAGAGTTTTTAGGGGGTAATTCAAAACTGAAAAGCAAGGGTTGATGCTTCAGTCACCATGGAAACACTTTTCCATTCACTCCAGTTTCCCTGCACCCTGTCACCCTATTATCATACTTCAAGGTTCCTAATGCTATAGAATGCAAACTTTATGATGCCTACCTCGTGAATTGGGATCATAAATCTCCACATCATTAATCTGCCCACTTTCATCTGTTACATTAAGTGTAAAAGAAAATGTTGATGCTRAAGCATCATCTGAAATCTTTTCACAATTCTTTTCTGGGAGAGCTTGATCCCCTTGATTAGRTTCACTRGMAMGTTTTTGCARTTGTTCATTGATATCATTRTTTTCATTTTCTGGATYAAGTTCAGCAGAAATAGATACTTCCGCTTCAGAGTACAAACTATCTTCATCTGGACTTTTATTGAATTCACCATTTCTATTACCATCCTCAATAAATCCATCTAAGATTGCTTCACTTTCAGCAGTAGCTGGAGGAGTTAAAGTGGTGTCAAGTGCTGCTACAATTGCWACTTTTCCTGTCTGCGCTTTATTCTGGACACCAATTATTGAACCTGTAGGAGGGCATACTCTGGAAACAGGTCGTTTATTAATGTCAGGTAAATCTACTACTGGGTTGAAATTGATTATTGAGGGMGAAGACCATCCTGACAGTGAGGAGACAACTCCAGACCTCTGCTTATTATCTTGTTGTGAAGCATATATTCTTGGATAAGTGTAGGTTTCTTTAAGGCGTGCTGGTGCTGTATTTGGTGGTTTTGGATTAGGGAAGAATGGCAAGGGAACTAGCACAGAATTTTTGTTTTTAGGCCTGCAAAAATAACAATAACATGCAGTCACTTTAAACATTTTCAATATTAAAAATAAGAGTTTAGTTGAGAGGACAATACAGGCATTATAGATGTATGCACAAAACTTGAAAAAAAATTATTCACCCAAAAAGAGACAAACGACAATGAAAAAGTTTTAAGAATCTACCAGCTTTTCAAAGTAAAACATTTTGTCATGGCAATTAAAAGCTCTGAATTTTAGTTAATAAATTATTATCTATATCAAACTTACTCAGGATTGAAACCAACTACTAATGAAGACCTGGAGGATGGCTTCCTGTTAAAAATATTATATTATTTAATATCAAGACATATTTCCTATTTATTGAATGGAATGTTGCTTTATTGATTGAATCATCAGAATAAGTGTTTGTCAGCACTGGTTTCTGAATGTTTGGTTACCTAGTAGTTACAAATGTAGCTTATTGGTTTATTTTGGTTTATCCACTTTTCCTTTTAGCGGTTTGATCTCAACTCAAATTAGTCCATATTTTTGGAAAGGTACTGGACATAAGTTCGTTTGCCTCAATTCAGSAGATTGGTGATTTCTGTAATCCAAGTCACATTCAATAAGACATGTACTTACTGCTTTAAATACAATGGAGCAGAGGTTTGGATGTACTGGGTGCTATTTCCACTACTTCCACTATGCACTTGTTTAAACTTTTTCTTTGACTTTACAGGTGCAACAAGACTGGACAGAGAATTCATGTTACCCTGAAAATATAACAATAAWTGCACAATACTATCAGCCATATATATTGATATTAGTTATTGATAATTACAGCAAAACTTAACAATTACTAAATTTATATGGACAGTAACTAAACACACATGAAGACTCACATTGCAAACTCTTTGATACACTTCATCAATTCCAATCAGTTCTGTYAATGTTCTTTGTTTCTCAACATCTGATAAAATCACATTCTTGCTGAAGCTTTCTGTAGGTCTAGCAACTGTATCACTTTCTGCTGCAGATAAGATCAGAGGGTCTGTGTGTCTGAAAAATACAAGCACAKAGTTGACCATTTTTTGCAACTCMTTATGTTAAATCGAATGTCAATAACATTTCTTAGTGTACTAATAACTAAAAGTAAATAAATTTAACCAAAGCACAAACCTTCCAACAGGAAGTCTTGCTAACTTCATATTAATAAATGCCGAGTTTGCTGATTCATTTCTTGGACTACTTCTCTCTACTTTTGGCTTGGTATGCTTTAATAAAAAATGTAAATATTGCATCAAATATACTATATATAATATATATTCTCATAGAAATGCATGATACAACATCATAGCTACAACTTGGAAATAGTGTGGGTTGAATCATCTTAACAAACCCATGAAACAAGGTGTTTCTTGAAACACAGAAACATTTGTGCATAATAAACAAGTATATAGTATTCTAAATATGCTAATAAATATATCTGGATTATACCTTTATGGCTTGTGGAGAAAACCCAAGTTTCTCAGTTCCTTTATGTGCACTAAATGGGTCTTTTTTGTTTTTCTGAATTTTCAAAAAAAAATGGTTAAATGTTGATCATGTTTTTTTTTAAAAAATTAAAGAATATATAATATTGTTTTTTGTTCCTGGTTTTCTAGAACATACTCAAAGAAAGAACATTGTCTGAAAAAAATACAGCGGAACATCAAAGAGATAAATTTTCACATGGAAACACAAACAGAATGCATACATATCTGCTACTTGATGCTCTTGGTTTAAAAACAACAGCATTATCTCTTCTCTTTGCAAGAGGTGGAATGATTTTCTGGGATTTGGTCATACATGATGTAGCACCATCATGCTGAAAAAAAAAACATTTTTAAGCCATAAAACTGTATCATGTATACTAAAAATAAGAGATTTTGKTTAGCTCATGAATATAAAAAATATTCCAATTTCAACCCAAATAAACTTCAATTTTATATATTTCATGAAGTCGTATCTTACCAATCCAATAAAGAAACCACCTCTTAGATTTACTCTTGATGAAGGCTCCTCAGTTGGGACCATTTCTTTGCGAGGAAATCCATTGGCAAAATTAACATATTTTGCTCTGTTGCTTTGATGATCCCTCAAAGTCATCCTTATCTATGTCTCCATGGTATGCAACATGCTATGTAAAAATTGTCAATTATGATTCAATAATAATATAGATTGTGCTTAATATTTTTGTGTAATTTCAACAAACATGTGGGATTTGCAATAGTGCAATGGTGTGTTTATAATATCAATAAGAAGAATAATTTATTACAAGTAGACTATATTGACAATCATGCATTCTGATTGGGTACACTATTTGGGTCTACTTCTTATATCCTTAGAGCAACAAAAATTCCAACAAATTTGTTGTTCATTTATTTATTTTTTGTTGATGTTTTTCTTGAGTTGATAACAAGATGGCAAACAGGCCTCWGATTAGTAGCTTTGTTCTAAATATCTACTAACAACCTCGTAAYCAACCTGCATTGGGATTGGCTACATTAAAGCCCTAATTTYAATATTTTCTTGGATTATCGCCACATAGAAGACAGAAAAGTCAATGAATATAAATTATCAATGAATCTTAGTAAGGTCTTCCAGGTTTTCAGTTTATCAGGCAGGTGTCTCCTTATAGAAATAAAGGTTTAGAATTTTAACTGCACCAACAACAAAGCACCTCCATGTTCCACCATGTTACACCCAGATCTGCATATCACTGCTAGCCATCAAAAACCTTATCACGCATGTTATTCGGCACCTGATTAGAAAAAAATCTCGGAACAAAATGGCTGAATAGTTTCTAGGGTTGGGCATTGTCTTAAAAAAATATTAGATATGCAACTTCCATTGTAAGGAGCTGAATTAAAAAATCAGACTGAAATATTAATAACTTAATGTCGACAGATGCACAGCTGAATATTTCAGTGATTTCGAATATTTTACTCTTTTCTATTACAAATAGATATATTTCCGACGTTTAAACATCACAATCAACCAAACTAAAAGGTCAACAATAATCAAAATATCGATATCAATTAAATTAATAGATTGYCTGTTTACAGACAACAAGGATACCGAGGTAACGACCAATATTCCTAAGAAATTTAAAAAGTCTGAAAGAACTACAAGTAGAACTGAACTAAGGCACGTCGGAGTTAAAGAAATAACTTACATTTTGCCTCTTCAGATGCCTTCTTTGCTGTTGGTATATTATTTGCCACAGGTGAAGGCTAAGCAAGTGAACCGCAGCGTGGAGTTGATTGTCCCTGACAACCGCAGTCAACCGTCGCTGATAACTTTTCAAAGGYCGCGTAAATTACCAAAGTCGCTGGAAAGACTGAAAGTCAGAAACAAAGGCTATATATCTAAGCATCGAAAAGCGCTTCTTAATGGAAGAATTGAGAACAATTTTTTAAAACAAACGCTCACTTTCTTGTACTAGCTAGTGCGGAGGAAGGAGCGCGCGAAGATGTGTAGGCTGACATTTGACGTAATTCCAAGGACGTTTCCTATTGGCCAACTCTGATAGTATAAATTCGCATGAAACTAGCCAGAACGAGGCTTCAAAATGGCGGCAGAAAATAAGCACGTGAAGTTTACGAAAGTYAAGTAAAATACACGTTTTTGAGCTCAAGTAATGGAGGTATTGCGTTCTAACTTCTTGGAGACACTGCMTATTGTATCMGAAGCTATYGARTCTGCAGCTTTTGTCGCGATTGATGCAGAATTCTCAGGTTTGAATACAAAATGGAGGATTGAAAATGCAATTGACAGTCCGCAAGAACGCTACTCAAAACTAAAGAATACTTCCAAGGATTTCATTATTATACAATTTGGTTTGTGCACCTTTTCTTTTGACACTCAAAGGAACTGTTATGTAGCAAAACCGTTCAACTTCTACATCTTTCCAAGACACTTAACCCGTGACAGTCCAGATGTACGTTTTCTTTGCCAGAGTTCCAGCATAGATTTTCTCGTCGGCCATAATTTTGATTTTAATAAATGGGTACGCGAGGGAATCTCATATCTTCGACCATATGATGAGGATAAACTTAGGATGCATTTTCAAGAGCGACATGAACAAAGTTTTGGACCATTTACKTCTCCAGGGGACACTTTGAATGCCAGCTCTCCAGCAGGATCAACTACATCAACAAAGAGTTCCTCTTCAAAGACTCCTGTGATTATCCCACCAGAGCATCAGCCTTTCGTTGAGAAGGCRTGCAATGAAATAGAAGAGATGCTKAAAGATCCWGAAGGAAAGACCACTAGTTTACCACCATGTAATGGGTACTTGAGRAAACTGATATACCAGAGTGCRAAGCAAAAGTTTACTTCAGGAATCCAACTTGAGAAAACCACTAACGAGAAAAGAGAATGCTACATTGTGGTTACCAAAGTCAATGAGGATGAAAAAAAGAAGTTGGAAGAACAAAAACAGTCMAAAGAAAAACAAGTAATTGAAAGTGCTGTTGGTTTTTCAACTGTGGTCAAGATGCTTTCCCARTCTGGCAAGCTCATTGTYGGCCACAATATGCTTCTTGATCTAATGCACTTGATTCATCAGTTTTGTTGCCCRCTACCTGATGATGTTGATGAATTCAAAGCAACTGTCCAGGCTTTGTACCCAAGAATCGTTGACACAAAAGTCATGGCAACTACACAACCCTTCAGAGATCAACTACCATCTACCGTTCTTGGTGATTTAGTTAAGCACCTTTCTGTGTCACCATTCAAGAAGCCAGTAGTAAACCTGGATGAAGAGTTTACTAGGTATAATGATGGGACTGAAAGTCTTCATGAAGCTGCATATGATGCCTACATTACTGGCCTGTCCTTCGTCTCCATGGCCAACTACTTAGGGTGCTTTCAGGATCCCCCAAAATCAAGAATTTCTCCTGATTCAACCTTAGTGTCTCCATTTGTGAACAAAATCTTTCTTATGAGAATGGAAGATATTCCATATCTGAATCTTGCAGGTGAAGATCTGAAACCTGCCAGAGATCATGTGTTTCATCTAACATTCCCAGCCACCTGGAAGTATAGCGATATACTTGACTTGTTTAGTCCTTTTGGATTTGTCTATGTATCTTGGGTTGATGATCATTCAGCCTTTGTCTCCCTTGCTGTGAGAGGAAACAAGAATAAAGTTTTGAATACTTTGGATGTTGAYGGTGCCGGGTACTCAATTGTGTCATATGCAGAGTACTTTGGCTACACAGAACAAGAATCTGAATATGCTGAGGAATACGAAGGAGGAAGCAAGAGACAAAGAAGTGGGGRTTTTTCTCCTTTGATTGAAAAGAAACAGAGAAAGCGCGATGCCTCCTCATCAAATGACACATCAGCAACTAATTCTGAGAAGAAGGCAGAAASCAGTGAGCCAGAAGAAGGAGAAATCTTTGATGAAGCTGAAGAACCAGCTACAAAAAGAAAAAAGACYGACAAAAACTTTGAAGAACCTGAAGATTGGTAGTGGATAAAATATTTTCAAAACGTCTATTCAATTAGAATTTGAAATTCTTCTTAGTGTTTAAATATTTGTATTATTGATGCAAAGGTTAGGAGCTACTCCCAAGAAAAAGCAATCTATAATATACTTCTAACCAGAAACMTATAAGGGRCATGAAACGTGTAACGCCATGCCAACCGTTGGAATATTCAAATCTAATTTGCATCTCATTTCCTTATTTGGAACAATAAAATTTACCCTATAGTCAACCAGRACAGGCCTTAAATCWCTTATCCAACGGCTGAATTTTCCAAATATGGTCATAACRTTTGTTTTCGAATTTTTAACGAGCTTTGAATATTCCGACGCTTGGTACTAAAGAAATCTAAGGGAGTTACACATTTCAAGTCCCTTATAGATTTCTGTTCTAACTTTATAGTACATAATGTAAAGAGTTATTGACCGCAAGACTAGTGTGATTTCCTTGGAGTATTTAAATTCCATGTTCTTTTATAGACTTTCAGAAACTTTCCAACATACTTTCCTGTTAATGACACCTTCCACTTAAATTCTTTTTACGCTTGCATTACTCAAATTAATTATTTGTCACAACAAAAAAATAACAGATTACAATTAATAGTAGAGTTAGGTACAGCCTGGATGCCAGCTGGAGATTAATGGTTATGTAAGCTGGAAGCATATCATTAATTGGCATTAAAAACTAACAACATCTAAAAAAGGAACACTGTTTAGTTTCTTTTTGAAATTAGAGATGATTTTGAGAAGAAAATATAATACTAGAAAATATAATGAGAGTCTGACCTGAATATCCTGCCATAAGATTATATATATTATCATACAAGTCAAACTTTTGGGGTTGCACTGACAAACTAGCAACTACAGAATAAGTAATTGAATAGTATATATTTGAAAACTGAAAATGAAAGGCATTGCTTTTTAATATTTTAATCAAATATTATAAAGTAATATGGATAAATGGCTTCTTGCATTGTCCCCAAATCAATGGTTTAATACTACATATATTACCAGAATTTCAGCTTAAGTTGAAATTATTGCTTTATAGAAGTCACCTTTACATAAATCTACAATCAGCTTCAACTTACATTAACTTGCAACGATTTGATAAAAAACACTTGAATAAAAAAACAGTATATCTTCCATTGCAGTCATTAAACTGTACACAAAATTTCAATTGAGAGATGAACCATAGGTTTTGTTTATGTTGTTTGCTATGGATCATCTCTCTGTAGTTCATGCGGTTTTATGCGTTTTCTGCCATTCGTAGCCTCRTCATCACACTCCGTTGAACTTTCTTCTAATGCTTCTGATGTTCCACTKGAATTGTTGTTTATTATAGACGAGACATCACTAACTACAATAGGGGTGTATTGACTCRACTTTCTTGTGGCAATTTGAACTCTGAAAAAAAAACACCATACAGTAAACAAGAGAACAAATGAAATGTTGAAAACTGTTTGTTACATAATGTTGATAGACCTCAAAGAATATGGCAAAATATTGGATGGCCCAGGTAATCTATGGTCAGGGATGCCAACTCTCCCGGATAATCCGGGAGTCTCAAGATTTTCGATCATTTCTCCCGGTCTCAAGATTTTACCGCTAAATCTCCCGGATAATGACGATTCATATATCAGTTTTTTTGGAATATCTCTTTTCATCTATTAAAACTCAAATTACCTTGCATATCATTTTAGTTCTGAAAAAATACAAAAATCCCAGTCTTCTGATAAGAATAACACTGCACGCCATCCGCGTCCATTTTCAATTGCACAATACAATCTATAATATGATTGGTTAAGATACATCCAGTCAAATCACTAGTTATAACGCAATTTGATAAATGCGATGACGTCATCGATAATGTTATGGAAAGTCATTTCCGTTATGACGTCATCATTTTCGTTCTCAAGATTTGAAAAGTTCGGGGGTTGGCATCCCTGTATGGTATAAGTGATTCAACATTCCTTGCTGCTTTTATTGGTGGGTCTTTCTTCATGTGCCACAACCTAGTGTGAACATGATAGCTTTCTTTATACTTAGGGGGTATCGCTTAGCTTTCTGTTGCTACACTGGTGTCAGATTGTTCCATATTTGAATTACGTAACCAGCTGTACTGTGATTATACATAGAAAGGCCTTGAAATGGTGGCTACGCCACAACGTGTTCAAATTGTCAAATTCCAGCTATATCAAAGTGTTACTCCAGACCACTCGCAAGTTCCTATTTAAATACTTTGTAGATTATAATTCCACTTACAAATTGTTAGATTGTAAACTCTKGACACCAACTAAGGGAACTAAGGTTCTACAGCGACGCACCAGCGAGGTTTGCTCTCCTGACATTTTGACTGATCCTCGTGTGCACAGCCTTGGAGCACTCTAAAATATCAAGCATAGCACCAAATTATAAACATCTATGACACATACGAGAACATACAATAAGGATTTCACTAACTCTTATCGAAGAAAACCCTCTTGCCGCAAAACGTGCATATCTGGCCGCCATTTTGAAAATAAGCTACGCATGCTCTWACCTCACTCCGCTGTACATTGTTGCGCAGACTCGTTTGCGGAAATGGCGGACCCCGTGTTTTGGCGGTTCTTTGGAGTTTCGATTTGTTTTTTATTAGGAATTTCTTCCATCGTTTCAGCAGACAAAGTTATTCAGTTGAGTGAAGACAACTGGAAACAGATTCTTRATGGAGAATGGATGATTAAATTGTGAGTAACTTCAGTCGAAAATAAAGTAGCAACTTGTCAAACCACATGCTCTTTACCTCRAAGACTACAGGTCCATTATAAGATCAAACCTAATATTTATATTTTGTTTAAATGAATATCTTTTGAATTGGGGTGTAACAAAACATATTTGGTCAASTTCTGATGTGTTTATTGGGWTTTATACTGGAATTGCTATGGTTACCACAGGGATCCCAAACATTTTCTTTTAGATTACATTATTTTTTTAAATGTTTTAATTCGTMCATGATATTTTAGTTATGCTCCTTGGTGTCCAGCATGTCGGCATGTAGCTCCAACATGGTCGGCATTTGCTGTCAAAGGAAAACAGCTTGACATCAATGTTGCAGAAGTAGATGTGACCACGCAATCAGGTAAAAMTTTCTTCTTCCTCAAGATGTACTCTGRATTTTCAAATATTCTCTCTCTGCCWATAACTTCATTAGAGTTTTCACAGGGTAAGAAAAGGTTGTTGAATGCAAGGCAAAATTTGTCTGTTATCATATTTTTATCCTTGAAAACTTTATATTTTGTCAAAAATATAAATTAATTATAATTAAATATAATTTTAGTCATGTTACGCATGTGATTGATATATCTAATCAAATATTATTTCTTAAGCCTTAAGTGGCAGGTTCTTGGTGGCATCTTTACCAACTATATATCAGTAAGTTTAGTTGTATCATAATTTATCTCAACCTTTCATAATCCTGAGTGACGTCACCAYYCTGTCTTCTTGTTTCAGTGTWAAAGATGGATCCTTTAGAGTTTATGCTGGTTCAAGATCTCTTGATGAATTTGTCGACTTTGTGAAGGAATCAAAATGGAGTGAGATTGAACCTATTCCTTCTTGGAAGTCTCCAGGGTCATATCTGTAAGTCTGTCTTTTTATTTTGTCAAAATCAATCAATCAGTCGGTCCCTAATTATAAATCAATGAATAATTTCATTAAAAAAAATTTTAATGAAATTATTCATTGATTTATATTTTTTTAATGAAATTATTCATTGATTTATATTTAAGGGACTGATTGTAAATAAACTTTTAATTTCACAGTTTTTTATGTTTGTGCATTTTTTTAACTTTTTAGACTAACTTTTGAATGAATAATACTAGAATAGTTGTGATGAACCATCTGCATTAATATTTTTTTCAAATCATTGGCATGACTAAGTTTTTTTGTTTAATTATATCCTGTGTTTACAGAATGGGTGGCCTTGGCTTAATTTTTAAAGTTTCTATTTCACTTAAGGTAAAGCTAATATATTTTTTTCTCTTTCACTTAGGTCATTCTCATACCCAGATCATTCTCAGTCCCAATGGAAAATCAAAGGCTCTGGTTGAAGACAAAACAGGAAGAACCAGAATCTAGGTCATGTGATATGAAGCATGGGAATTTTTGAACCAATCAAATCAAAGAATCTTTCATTCCCAACCAGAGTCTAATCTGAGAAGGATCTTGGCACGAGAATGTCACTTACATGTACTTAATTTAACTAGGTGATGAAATTCAAAAAAGAAWGTTGCATTCATCATTTTCACACATTTAAATTCTTTTATGTTTAAAGAATCTTCATGACCATTTCACTACTACCTATGGTCTACCTGTGTGGGCATCTTTTGTTATATTTGGTGTTGCAACAATCTTGGCAGGAATTATTCTAGGAGTCGTAAGTATTATGAAATAAAATGGGATATCTTTTTTTTAATTTACTAGAACCATGAATCGGTGAATTTGACTTGAATCTAAGTAAAAAATATTAACAAATTAGATTTTTAAATTTTTAATTTTTTTAATGATATTAGCCAAATATATCAACTTTTCTAGTTAAAAATGGCGAGACGCTCAATTTTCATAATGTTTCTTCATYACAGAAACATTTGGAGATAATAATACCATTATCATTGTTTTCTAGGTTACAGTGTATGCAACAGACTATTTTTTTGACAAACCACAACCTCGTCCWCCTCAAACTGGTCCAGTGACAAAGTCTAGTGTTGAAGAGACTGATGATGCCCCAAATGAGAATGCAGAACCAGAGGAGGAGAAAAATGAAGAGGCAGAGGAGGAGAAAAATGAAGAATCATCCATTAGAAAGAGGGTAATTTCAACTACTGTAGATACTTTTATTTGTATTGAATTGCTTTTGCAAGTTTTTGCATTTAGTGAAATTTGTATTTATCCGAGCACCTCATTTGATGATTTTTTATTGACAAAATATTAAAAAAAACTTTTATTTATTTTGACAGAAAATCCAAGCAACAACAGATTGAACGTTATAAGCAGTGATAAGTTTCATATGTTAGAATTATTGTATTGGAGCTGTGTATCATTATTTTTGTTAAAGCTGAAGTTTTGCATTCAAGTCATTTAGCACACAGTTGCGCGAACAATATCTKCATGTATTTTCCTAAAATTTTGTGAACAATGAGAGAAACTAAAGACAACTCTGGTTATYGTGGATAAAAAGTTTTTTTGTAGGTTTCTTACGTTAAATTTGTTTTTATTAAATAACATCTTTAAAACATGATGCACTCTCTAAAAGCTACATTTCATTCAGCAAGAATATTGAACAATATTCACCCTCCCTCCTAAATRCAACTTTGACGAAAGACAAAACAAAACAAAATAAAAACTGTCTGATTTGTTTTTGAAATAAAATTTATTACCAGCATTACAGTATTTCCATTTGGGTATTATCATTATCTAATTCTACGTGAAAAAACATTCGCTTATAAGGTTTTTGGCGGGAAACGGTGCTGTAATCACCGAGGGACGGAAAAAGTAGAATCGTTTGTTCATCCCGAGGCTTGATAATTCTTCAGTTATTTCTTTTCCCTTTGAGAAAGAAACACTTGCACTCGTTAACCTTGACACGTAAACTTGCAATAATACTTTGCTCGCCATTTGGTTTGCTGACGCTCATCCACTTGTTCAAGATGACCAGCACGTTACACGTTATGATTAATGCTGCGCCAATCAGGCTGTATACGCTAGCCTGGTAATCCAGGAACACCAACTGAAGTACAAAGGCAAATACGATGTCAAGAGTACGTACTAACGCGATAATTCCCGCCTGCTCAAGCTGAAGGGACTTCGTGAGAAGACTTTGGCCAGCTGAGAAAAGAGATATATGRCAGTATTAGTACCATTTACGGTGTCAAAGACCTTTTTAAAGTCGAAGGCACTTCAAGCTTTAGTCATCCCAGGAAAGGGCCGGATGCAGAATTTCTTTTCGAAGAGAGCTTGTAGTATAAAGCTAAATTGATAATTTCTAATTGTGCAATTATTGAAGAAGAAATCATTTCAGCTGAAAAAAWTTCTGGTCGATAGTTTCGGCAACTTTCTGCCATTGCGCAAGTACCCCATTGCATGGACGTCAATGCAGATWWTTCTGGGATACAAAACAATTTTTTTCGGCTCTCTTGGTACTAGAATCCATTGCTTTTGGACTGCATGGCGGACATATAGAAATGGAAATGAAAACATTGATTTCCTTTTTTCCGTTAACTATACTTACCAATTCCACAGAGTCCAATGATCAGCAGCAACCACTGATGGCTAGACCCACATAAAACACTTTGAAACGACCCAGTAACTAGTACCCCAGCCGCAGTGAGAATAACGCCTGCCATTGCAACATACAACACTGGAACAAGATAACTTATAGCGGCGAGTTTTCGCAGTGAAATAAGTGCAATGGACGTCAAAATTGCGCCGGTTAGTGCTACCAAAGAAGCCGTTGCTTGTTGCCAATCCCCGTTGAATGATGGGTCGACTTCACGCGGGAACATAAAGGTTGGACGAGCGATTAGGATGATTCCAATGAAGCATAGTGTAGTACCGAGAAAATTGAACAATCCCCAAGATTCACCCAGAATGAAGTAGGCGAGGATGCCAGTGAAAATAGGCGAAGAGAACACAATTACCGTAGCATCAGCAAGAGGCATGTGTTGGAAAGCATAAAACTGACAGCAAAGAGCAAACGTCCCAGCTAAGGCACGAATGAACAAGCATGGCAAATGATGAACGTCACCAAATATAGGAACTCGAGCGTATATGAGWGGTGGAAGAAGAAAGACGAACTGTACAAGACAGCGAAAAAACACCACCTCCTGAGGAGGGATCTCGCCAAGAAGTTTGACAAACAAAGATGAAATAGCGAAGAAAAAGCAAGAAAGAGCGGCGAGAAGAGGACCGAGGATTTGATTAAACGAAATGTTTCTACGAGATGTTTCGTCCTCCATGGTAAATAGGCTTTGTGAGAACTGTGATTTTGCAGGTACTTTGTTGCGAATTAGGATGAGATTCYATGCAGATGTGACAATCCATACATATGTTGCGTTCTCAGGACTTCGGGCGAAATTAATTAATTTTTGCAATCGATGGAATGCGCTATCAGCTCATATATAGCCTTTTAATTCTGAGATTTGCTTTGCTTTACATTTAAGCAGTTTCATTTATTCGCCTTCTTCTATATTCTATTCTTCACTATTTCTTTGTTTTGATAGAAATAATGGGATCGTAGTACCGATTTGGAAATAATGCAGGGGCGTATCCATGATTCGTCATTTGTGAATCCCTATATATGTATCACTTAGTGTGCAACATAAATATATTGGAGTATATAGTTTTCTATTGTTCCACTGTCACTATGCTGTTGTCAAAGTACTTGAGCACTGTTTTCTCTAGTGATTTTCACTTGGCAAAAAAAAAAAAAAAATAGCGAAAAAAATGGATGGGACAGATATTGAAGGTATGACCTCATCAGGCAAGACTTGGATATTGATGTGATCCCACTACACAGAATCAATTTGACAAAATTTTGGGCCTGAAACTATCTGAGGCAACAGGAAAGAGACTCTGGTAATACAAGACAATTGAGGAATCCAAATTACTGATTTCAAAATATTTCCAGAATGAATCCAGATCAGAATCCTTGCCAAATTTTTCATGGAATACAGWAATGTTGGGCAATTGATCCTTGTCTTTGCAATGCTAAGGTCTGAAGGTTTAGAAATAAAAATCCTCCTTGCACTTTTCTGGATTCGTATCCTTAACAGCCAATTGCATTATAACCTTAACACCACAAAAAGATGAACTATAGTGCATACGTAGTCCAGGCAGTGTAGTGCAAAAGGCAAGTGTGAGAATTACGCAATGACATTTTTCATTCAAGGGCATGTGTTTTGTTAGTCTCTTTTGCAGCCTCCCCTTTCGTTCTGCTTCCTGTCCCTACAAAAGGGGAGGCTGCAAAGGAGACTAGTGTTTGGTAGAAAACTATCTCATGCCATTCTTTAGACTTCACCCCACAGCACCTGCTTAATGTTCCGATGTATTACCACTACACAACTAACTATGCAGAATGAGCAATAACAAATAACATTGCAACTTTGTGCATTTCAGGGCTGACATCTGAGGGTATCCATCTGAGCACCTTAATCCAATTCATTTTGATAGCTGACAAACAATCTGGTTGCTACACAATCAGCCCATATAAAAAAATCAGCGTTTATTGACATTAGTCTATTAAATTTGGTGACTTTCCTGGGAATTGATTGCGTATCAATACTGTTGTTACTTATAATCTATAACACAACAATGATTACATTTGAAAGAATTTTAATACTAAGACAGGAATACAAGATGGAATTGTAGACCAATAGCTTCCAGAATACTAGCAATGCTGTAACATTCTAACATTCTTGTCCACATCTTGCAGAAAGTTAATCAGTAGTTCTTGAATACACAATAATACAAAATATCTCATCTTCAAARCATGTCTTGCAGTCCAAAGTTCAACTGTTYGTACAACATTTCCCTTCCAAGTTTGTGTTTGATCTTTCCCAGCTCCACGCAACAAGGAGTATTTTGGAAGTTACTTGTCTTTAGTATGCATTTACTTGGACCTTGCTCTCATCTTTCTTCTTTTGCGCTTTAGTCTGGAAAAAAGACGAAAAATTCAAATTTATAACATGGGTCTATAAATGCAGTCTAGCAGGGTTCAAACATTTTAAATCAGACAGTTTTATCAGATTGTGTAAGGGAACAATTGCAGTATTTTTACTGTGATTTGATCAATCTATCAAATCAGCTTTCTAAATCACAGAAATCTTTTGCAAAAGAAATCGAAATTACTAAACATCCCCATGGACATCGAATTATCAGACCACGTTTTATGAAATGACGAACAAGTTCCCAAAAATTTTCTTAGTTCGAATAAAACAAAGCACTAACCTCCTCATGCGCTTCTTCTTCCACTATATATGCAAAGCGATYACAAGGTTGAAATAAAAGAAAGATAAAATTGGATATTAGATTTTGAAGAACTCTAGAAGCCTCTACACGAGCAAACTACAAATACATTTTTTGACTTTATGCAACGTACCTTATCTCTCATGATGAAAGGATTAGATGWCCTGTTGAATATATAGGCGAATGATAAGGATTAGTTTGGATGATGGCTTATTTCGACGTAGAATTTACATGGATTTTGAGAGGGACTTTCCTTCGACTTACCTTTCAAGATGGATGATCAAAGAGGACCTTCGATACAAAAAGTCCCGGATGTGAAGATAAAAGTTGAAAGAGACTGGGGTCGTTCACCACAGGAATCCCAGAAGAAAGACAACGTTGAAATTTTGCAGAGTAATTATATAGTACCAAAGAAGCATTCAAATCTCCGCGCAAAACAAATGCTATTATTAAGACTACTCAATTCTCGAGTACGACATTGCACACGGAACCGTACAAAAAAAGACCTACGGAGTTGGGTGTGGTACCTACCAAAATGTTTTTGCACCCGATTAGTTCGGTGTTACAGTGCAGCTACTGAAACCGGGGCCAATTAGAGAATATAAAAGCCCACAATTTAGATTAAAAACAAAGAATTCAGACTAAGGAAACCCCATCTAATTAAGCTTTAAATCTTTGCAATATCCCTGATCATCGCTTTTTAGCTTTTTAAGCCTTGTTTCAATCGAAATTGTGATTATTTTAAATTCTCAAAATGGCCCCGGTGGTTTCAGTACCCGCACTGTGAATACAAAAGGAAATATCAACATCAAGTTCTGAAGAAAACATTCAGAGCAGGGAAAGCGGATTTCGTTTGACTGAGWATGCATSGAGACAGCTCGGCGCTGTGACGGAACCTCGCCTTGTAGTGACGCCAAGTTCAAGAATACATCGSCATGACGATATTGTGCGGCGCGACRAGCGAATTGCTGTTYYTGGTATACTAAGTGCACGATCACGTCGTCAGTGTTGATCACACTTTCCCAAATTTAAAATGATTTATTWRRAAWTYMARG